TCCCTACACCTGAACATGCCAACCAGGGGACTAATCTGTACCAATCATCACAGTGGGGTTTGTTTGTTTTTTACAGTCCTTTTTTCTTTTTTTGAAATTTCGTGTCTCAGGCCAAATCAGCCAAATCAGTTCTGAATTCTATTGACTAAGCAGAGCTCGGTTGTGGTGGTGCTACCACCGGCAAGTCTCCTCCCTCCCAGGCTCTTCAGCCTGGGGCTGCAGATACTGCCAAATTCATGGCAGGCATCCTACATGCAAGCTCCAAGCCCGGAGGCCTTGGAGTTCAGATGCCCCCTAGTCTTGATTGCCCCGAGCCAAAAGGCTGAGGGAGCAAGCTGGAAGGAGAGCCCGAAAACAAGCCCCCAGCACCATTAATTGTGTAGCCGAGATCCTAGCATCTGGAGGCATTTGTAGACTCTTGCAGGGGTCAACCAGCCCGCAGTGCAAGGGACGGGCCTTCACCCTCAACTACATTGAGCCATTCAAGGCCAAGAAGGGGATCTCCCCTGCCAGGTAAGTAAAACCACCTGAGCCAAAACCACCTCATGGTATCTATCCACTGGCAGCCAGGACCAAAATTCACCAAACTCCCTTTGCTTGTGCTAGCCGGCAACCTCCCCAATCCCGTCACTATTAGCCAGGCATGAATGCAAAGGGAGGAGCTAGTCACCCCTAAGCCACTCGCTTCCCAAACCTGAGCTTTTTTTGAGCCAGTGGCTGAAGGACTTGAGGGGTGGAGAAGTGACCTTCCAGTCACCAACCCCCACGCTTTGAAGCCAAATTGTGCCTTGTGCATTTCCCCACATACCAGGTGCCCCTCTAACACCGATCTGCATTGGGCTCAAACACAATGGGCATGCAGCACAAGTGAATCTCCTCTCATTTTCTGAGAGGAGGCTTCAGCCATCACTGTCATCATCCTGCCATCTATTGCAAAAAGCAGAAACCAACAGGACAGGGAAAGGCTCAGTCCTGGCCCATGGGACTAATGCCCCATTGCTTTGCATTTTAGGGAGTCGTGAATGCCAGAGCACAGCCACTGGGATGGGTTGTGCCAAACCAAGTGAGGGGCAATAGTTAGCTTGACTGCTCCCTGCATAGGGCAAGAACCAGGTAGTCTGTAAGTCCCAGTGTCACTCCTGGTTTTCCTCTGCATTGGCTCCAGAAGGCAGGTCAGTGTATTAAAGAGGACAGCTTAGACTCCTACCTTGGATGAGAGGAGAGTAGCTGCTCTGTCCCACATGTAGATCCCAGCTCATGCTTCCAGCCCATGCAAAGGAGGATGCTTTTTCACTTTACTTACGGGGCTCACAACCGAGCTCATCTGATGTAGCCCAGCCTTTGTGCTGCTGTGAGCAAAGATGAGGTACAAAGATAAGAGAACCGGCTCTCCGAGTATCAATGCAAGCACAGGCTCCGGGAGGGATCAGATCCCACTCTGATCCCTGCTTTGTGTCTTGGGCCTTTCTTGCCACAAGGACAACTTGGCTGCTTCTCAGAGCTTGGAAGATGCTGTTGTTCCCTGGGCCCAGGAGCAGGGAGCATCATTGGCACTCCATCCATCCATCCATACGAATGAGTCCCTCTCCGTTTCTGGTGACAAAACCCATCTGATCCTTCAGACAGAGCACAGTTGCCTCCAGTTCCCCCTTCCCCTGGAAGATTTTCTGTCAGGAGCGGGCCGCATGATTGTAGACATTTCCATGTAATATAGTTTTTCCTCCCTCGGTGGAGTGAACATACTTGCTTTTTTCCCCCCGTGCATGTCACACGTTCACCCCCTCTCTGTAGGGCTGTTCTGCACACCGAGGCAGGGAGGGGCCTAGAAACTAGCAACGAACAAGACCATAGCTTGGAACCAAAGAAATGGAGCCCTTGTATGCACAGCAGGGGAGATGCCTTGGACAGCCTCAGATGGAAAGAGGGATGGTTGCATTTGTTTGCCTTAAAAAGCCACTGGTTCCTACTGGAAAACAGCTCGACTAGGAACAGTTCCACATTTCCAATATTCATCTTTTTCCCTGGCTGCTAAAAGGAACAAAGTTTAAGAAAGCAACAGCAAAACACCTGTGTTTTCAGCTTCCTCTTTGAAAACAGATGCTTGGGCCACTTCCATGAGATGCTGAGCACCCACGAATGGCAACCAAGTTATATGGGATGAGCCAATGCACAGCCAGGGTGGTTACATGGGCGAGCATCACGATGGAAGGTGGCGCGCACCACGGGACAGACAACTCTTGCTCCAGAGGTATTGCAGCATAAAATATTAAGGCTCTGTGTGCTTGGTGCCCTGCAGCTATTTGGGGACCCACTAAAGTTGGAGCTACACACATGGGTGCAAATGCAGAATCCTGGAATAAATGACTTGGAGTGGAAGGTGCAACAGGCTTGCAGTGCAACATTTGTGTCTGGCGTTGGAGCCCCTATGAGTTCTGGAGCAGTATAAAGATGGATCTAGGTCTGGGTTCTGGATTTCAACCCTACGGTCCGGGGTCTGGGCCTGTACCTACTGAAAAGACAGATTGGGTTGTGATTTGGAAGATCAAGAAGAAAAAAATACAATGGAGGTAGGCAAGTCAGTACCTCGGGGGCACGTCTACTAATCTTGAGTTCCTGCATGATAGAAGCCATGGATGTTCATCCCAGGATCCTGCAGCTAGCTCATGTCTTGCAGTAGAGCTAAAGTATATTAACTGGAGTCCATTGGGGAAGAGTTAAGATGCAAGAAAAATGAGAGACAGAAGATGTAGGATCCACAGGGAGCCAAATTGTTCCTGTCCGGGTCCCTTTAATGGTTTTCTACCAGGCATCAGCCCATATGCCATTCAGGCTCTGGTCCTGCCCTCACCGAAGACTGGGGGCAAATTCCTGTCAGCCCCCCTGGCACCCCATTGGAGTTCCTCCTGTCACCAGCCCTCTCTCTTCCACAAGCGCTGTACAATGTGATTGACTGGAGACGTTGACTTGCTGCCTTTGCACAATGCCGTGTTTGATTTCGACCGTGTGCATTGCCGATGTATCAGTCCTAGGCGTGTGAGTAACTGCTGTCCTGTCCCAGCCACAGGGAAAGGCCAGAGTTCAGCCTGTACATATCTTCCCTTTTTTGCAGGTTTTTGGATGTTCTTCCCGGTGACTGATATAAAACTACTGGTCATTTTATGTTTTTATTTATAAATAAATTTTTTAAAATTGATCTTGCTTCTCCTCTGTTTTATAGACCTGAAGGCTAGAACGATCACTGCAGTCACCTAGTCTGAATTCCCAGGAAAAGCAGGATTAGGATGGTACTGAAATGAGTTACACCTGGCACAGGCTTACGCTACTGTAGCCACTTGCTCAAGGCAAATGAGGTATTACCTTGCCATGGTGAGCCACTAGAAAAACACCTACTGCATACAGCTATCCCAGACAGCTGCATGGCTACCTGCTCTGCATCCTGGTTTAATTTGCATCCATGTTATATACTGACTGGTACAAACATGACTTATCCAGGGTCACATAGGGAGTCCGTGGCAAAGCTGGGAATTGCAACCTTGTCTTCTGAGTCCCGGATGAGTACTCTAGCCATCCTTGCTCTCGACTTCCAATGAGTGCTATTTCAGTAGCCTCACATGGTGCAAGTCCAGCTTGCGTTACAGGCAAAGTTGCTAGAGGAAAGAGCTAAAAGAAGCACATGCAGTGATAGATGCATAGTGAGGCTTAAAAACCATGTGCAGTGACATTTTAAGGGACATTGGTAGAGCCAATCAATTAATCAACCAAGCATCCTCCGGAATACTAATCCGCTTCCCTTGCCTGCAACCAGCCCTGCATCCTCTGTCACCTGCAGTGGCTCATTTTTAACTACCACAAAGCCATGACATAGTCCAGGCCCTGTTCTCTATGGACAAGTTGCCCAAGCCCTGAAAGTCAGATGGATGCCTCCATGCCTGAAGTATCATTGGCTCAGTGAGAGAGGGGAATTCAGCCTCCATGCCACTTCCCTCCTCCTTCTGCTCCTCTGCCCACAGAGGATGTTATGGCAGGGTTCCCTGGGCATGCACACAATTGCTGCTGCTGTCCCTGGC